GACGGCTACTTCCGTCCGTCAGACGGCAATCGCGATATAAGTATGCTCGGCCGTAGGCCGTTCGAGCCGTCGACGGATTCGCCGTCCGACCACTAGCGGTCTCCGCTAGTGGCCGCATTCGCTACAAGGGAGTTGGATCTCGGCCGTACTAACCGTCCGGACCACAACGCCAAGTTTTCCGACGGAACGCGGACTCGGCCGCTCGCCGCGGGCCTCAGGGCCCGTTCCTTTCCGCGCCGTGCGACTTGCGAGGCCGACCCGATTTGTCCATTGCCGCCGAACTCGGACCACGGATCTCACTCACTAAGAATTTTAATTAGAGAGATCCGGCCACGTCCGGCTGCCTCATGACGGCGTGACCGTGAAATTCGCGAAATGCGTAATATCGGAGAGAACTTATGTGGCTGCTTCCTCCTTCCGATTCGGCTCCAACCTCGCTCGGACCCCGTTCGCTCGTCGACTCCCTCGCGCCGGGAATCGCTCGCTCGTCCTTCGCTCGCTCGTTCTCCGCTCGCTCGCTCAGATCGAGATCCCACAGCGCAATAGGCCGAATCCTTCCGGCTTCCGCAGGGACATCGGCTCCCTGGGAGGCTCCTCACTCGCGGGGCCTTCCAGGGAGCCTTGCGCGGTCCTGCCGCCGTGCCCCGTCGCCCTGTGATGACAAGCAGTGATGATAAGTCGTAGGAAAAGTCGCGCACGCGCACTGAGCAAACGCTGTGGTAGCTTCATGGACATATATATTTGAAGATATCGTTAGGTCCCCACTATGAAAGAAATGTGAAGGAAATTATAGGGAAGGAAAAGAGCTTCTGTTAAATAAATATAATATAGTTTACATATGAATAATGAAAGATAATAATAAAACTTATTAATTTGTAATTTTTTACATCTGCAGCCAATATATTGCATTTATTATTCCTATTGCATTTATTATCACAGTTCTTTCTTAACTTATCGCTACACTTATCACTACATTTATCGCTATACTTATTTATTATAACATTTTACATTATGAATATATAACCTAAGTACTCATGGGAAAAACGCGAAACAACTATAATGGACAGCCGCGCGGGACCTTTCGTGCGCACTATTTGCACCTACTATCTGCGTTTATATCCATCACTGGAAACGCTTGCGTTGAGCTCTTACGTCATGCTCACGCATGCGCACAACGGCTCCCATATGGGAAAAATTCCCACGACTTGTCATCACTGCCGTCGCCTTGCCGAATCTCTTCTCCGTCTGCCCCAATCGCCGGGAAGACTCTCTGCGTACGTCGACACTACATCGTAGGTCTGGAGTCGTGCCGCTCTAGGATCCCCTTAAGCGTGGTCTACAATGGCCGCAAGCAGTAAGAAGTAAGGCCCGATCTACAATAGATAAAGTAAGGAGTAGGAGTAGAAGTAACGATTTTGGCGTAAAGATGCTTACGGTAGTCCTGTCTACAATACGATGCAATAGGAAAGATAAGCCAATCAGAACGCAGGAGGAAAATTGTATCGACTGTGCGGGTGGTCCGATTGAACACATCGCGATTGTACACAGGACACAGAGTAATGATTGGTTGGATTTAAAATTCACCAGATAAAGCTTTGCACCGGTTGGTTGTGTCCAATCGTGTAGGCAATCGAGGTCCTCTCGAGTGTGCGAGAGTCGATTAATTACTTTTATACTTAAAGATTCGCACAAGTCAGTATTCCATATTAACACATCGATCAATAAATCCCGGGACTAACCAACAGATGGTGCCTCTAATAACAAATCCATATCATTCTCAGTTAGTACCAACCTTTAGAAGTTACGTGTTAAATTTTCATGACATTCCGACATTGTGTCGTTGAGTTACAGTGGTTTTAGTGACGCTACTTTTGCTATTTTCAAAACAATGGAAAAAACCGAATTTCGTGTGTTAATAAAATATTGCTTTTTAATGGGAAAAAATACCGGGAAAAAATTCAAACTCAGCGATGGCTTGAAAAGTGTTATCCGGGCTCTGCTCCGTCAAAAGCAACCATTTGTCGGTGGTATGCTGATTTCAAACGCGGTCGTACAGACACAAATGATGCTGAACGCTCTGGTCGTCCAAGTGAGGCTTTTACACCAGAAAACATAAAAAAACCCTCAAAATCGTGATGGAAAATCGCAAAGTAAAGTTGCGTGAGATAGCTGACATCCTGAAGATATCATTTGGTAGTGTTTACACTATTTTGCATGAACATTTGGTCATGAAAAAGCTTTTTTCGAAATGGGTGCCGCGTTTGCTCGGAATGGAACAGAAACAACAACGCATCGATGATTCAGAGCGCTGTTTGGCACTGTTTACGCGAAATGAACAAGAGTTTTTGCGTCGATATGTGACAATGGTTGAAACTTGGATCCACCACTATACTTCGGAATCAAATCGGCAGTCAGCTGAGTGGAGAGCAGCCGATGAAAGTCGTTTAAAAACTCAACATTCGGCCGAGAAGGTTATGACCTCCATATTTTGGGATGCGCATGGTATAATATTCATCGATTACCTTGAAAAAGGAAAAACCATCAATAGCGAATATTACGTAGCGTTATTGGAGCGTTTGAAGGCAGAAATTGCAAAAAAACGGCCTCATATGAAGAAGAAAAAAATTCTCTTTCATCATGACAATGCACTGACGTGTCACAAGTCGATGGTAACGATGGCCAAATTGCATGAGTTGAATTTCGAATTGCTTCCGCACCCACCGTATTCTCCAGATTTGGCCCTCAGCGATTATTGGTTGTTCGCAGACCTCAACAAGATGCTCCAGAGAAAGAGATTTGGCTCCAATGAAGAAGTGATTGCCGAAACTAACGCCTATTTTGAAACCAAAGATAAATCGTTCTACACGACTGGCATAGAAAAGTTAGGAAAGCGTTGAAATGAATGTATCGCTATTGAAGGAGACTATGTTGATGAATAAAGAAGAATTTTGGCAAACAAATGTTGTTTTAGTAGTTAGTCGCGGGACTTATTGATCGATGTGTTACATCTGTGTTTTCTTCAGAATTATTGGCGGTGTACATATGGATGGATATGTTGCAGGTGTTGGTATGGCACATTGTGAACTGGAATGCTGTGAGCTGGCAAGTTGTGAGGTGCTAAAATGCAACAGTTACGAAGCCATAGCTTTCTTGTGCTTTAGAATAGGCTAGAAATTTGATAATGTCCTGCACAAATATAATTCATCTTAAACATAAAACTTATGTAAAATAGATCTTTCAAATTTGTTAAATTAAAAATTGTAAAACAAATGCAAAATGCAAGAATAAATGTTATAGTTATCATTTATATAATGATTTAATTACTGTCTAGGTTGAATATGATCAGCCAGAAACATTAGATCTTTATATAATGTCCAATTAGATGTATATGGCACATGATCTGCATCTGCGCCAGATCTTGCCTGCGACTGTATTGACTTTCCGGCGCTCTTTTCTGAATTTTTGACGTAAAAAACGTTTTGACGTATAAAATGTTTTTTCTGCATCAATTCCTGCAAATACACAGTATTGAAAAAGAAACCTTATCCAGAATACAATAGCTGTAAAGGCTCGTCTACATTAGCTGTAAAGGCTCGTCTACAATAGCTGCAAGAGTAAGGCTGTAAGGCTGTAACGTAAGCTGTCAGCGAATGAAAATATTTCATTTCGTGTCTTGCAACCTTACAGCCTTACTCTTACAGCTAATGTAAACGAGCCTTGAGAGTAAGGCTGTAAAGCTAAGACTCCATGCATGCGGTGAGCTCCGGCAAACGGCTGCGGTAACCAATCAGGAGACAGACGCATGCCGGAGCTTGCCGCAACCGGACTTGCGCCTCCCTCCTGATTGGTCACCGCAGCATTTGCCGCAGCTCACCGCATGCATGGAGTCTTAGCTTAAGGTTGCAAGACACGAAATGAAATATTTTCATTCGCTGACAGCTTACGTTACAGCCTTACAGCCTTACTCTTACAGCTATTGTAGACAAGCCTTAAGAGTAAGGCTGTAAGGCTAAAGCGTGGTCTACAATAGTCGCAAGCAGTAAGAAGTAAGCATGAACACTAAAGCTAAGACTCCATGCATGCGGTGAGCTCCGGCAAACGGCTGCGGTGACCAATCAGGAGACAGACGCATGCCGGAGCTTGCCGCAACCGGACTTGCGCCTCCCTCCTGATTGGTCACCGCAGCATTTGCCGCAGCTCACCGCATGCATGGAGTCTTAGCTTAAGAAATGGACTAACCACAGTTGATTATTTTTGTCATAATCGACTGTGATTGGTTTATTTCTTACCGCTTACGCTTACCGCTTACTTCTTACTGCTTACTGCCATTGTAGACCACACTTTATATTACATTTGTCGTACGACAATCTTTTCGAATACGTTGATTGGTTAACAAGTAGAATATTTCTAGGATTGCTTCGCGTACGCCAATTAATGTATCCGAAAAGCTTGTCGTACGACACATGTAATATTAAGCTAAGGCTGTAACGAAAGCTGTCAGCGAATGAAAATATTTCATTTCGTGTCTTGCAACCTTACAGCCTTACTCTTACAGCTAACGTAGACGAGCCTTTATCCTATGGCATACGCTCTGTAACGGGCGCCCCAAGCTGCCACGTTACAATTGGGTCTGTTTTTTATAGCTTCACTGTTGAACTAGTGAATGTTGAACAGACCCATTGATTGGTCTGTTCTTTGTAGCTGCACTGTTGAACTGGTGCAATAAGTTAAAGTGAGACAAATATAGGTTTTCTCACTCTAGCTTATTGTACCAGTTCAGCAGTGCAGCTACAAAGAACAGACCAAAGTATAGGTTTTCTCATTCTAGCTTATTGCACCAGTTCAGCAGTGCAGCTACAAAGAACAGACCATAAGCTGTCTTAAGTTCATTTTCAGATACCCCATAGCCAATGAAATGATTTGTACAGCATCTGAAGATAAACTTAAGACGTTCTTAAATATAAGATCCGACTATGAATACTGGCCATATAGTGTCTCATTGGTGCCTTTAGAATGCGATTGGTCATTTGGTGATGTGGGTAATTTATAAATTCTTGCATTATTTGCCATCAAAACGGAAATACATGTCTACGCGAGCGTTTGCCGAAAATTTAGTTCCACTGTGGGGATTGATATAAGTGAGTGACGAATGTATTCGACAGTGTTCAACATGTGATTAAGCTGATTTCAATTTTTAACTTTCATAATAAAAATTGGCTTCTCATCCTGACATTGTAGAAGGTCCTCGAAAATATATAATAGATATGACAGTTGCAAGTGCATGATCACTTTTGTATTTTCCAAGAGATCACGTAACCTGTACTACCTGTAATTTTAACATGTTCACCACTACACATACGATTCATTCAGAGAACTCTCCCCAGAGTCCTTATCTTTTTTTTATGTAATCGTATAAAAGAAACTTGATTATTTATATAAATAAATCGAAAATTTATCTCTTATATGACTGTGGTCTTCTATGAGACATTGAGGTGTTGGACATGTTTAACGCTTGATGGCAATATATTAATGTTGCTCACAATGTACTGATAAGTTTCTTTACTTTTAGGTCATGACAGCTGTAAAGGTACATGGTGGAATTGACATCTTGAGGTTGCCAGTGAATGAAGAGGTTTATGTTTGTTCACCATGGCATATCAAGTATACACAGTCTCATATACTGCATTCCAAGTGTTCCAAAAGTGAGAATGGTTGCAGTAACAAAGACAATGAAGCTTGTCAATTTTGCGTGTATGTGTTTTGTTAGATTTATTCCAAAATTTATGGTAACACGAATAAACATTGAGAAATATGTATTTATCTTTCAGCTACAATAATACATTAGAGCTGCCACATATGCCTGATATGGTATTCCCCAATAATGTATTGACTCTGACACATCAAGATGGAGCATTATTGCAGTTTAATGCTTTAGATGCACTAAGGCATGTATCCAATGGGAAAATCAATGTACAATTGGCATGTGCAGAAGCATGGAAGGAATCTAGGTATGTTACAATTTACACCTATTTTAATCTTACCTATAGCTCTTACCATACTCTTGGTTAAATATTTCAACAGATCGGACAGCAGTGAATATTTAGAAGAAAAAGTGAAACCTTTTGATTGGACATTTACTACAGATTATACTGGTACAATATTTGGTTTTAAAATTGAGGAGACAAATGAGAGAATTGATATGGATAAACTAAGGCAAAGAGATAAAATATTGTTTTATAATGACTTAACCCTGTTTGAGGATGAACTTCATGACAATGGTATTGCGGTGAATTCAGTAAAAATTGTAAGTTACTTCAAGTACAAATTTAAATGGCAATGTGTACAATGAGATTCTAATTATTTCAATTCTTATTCTTTACAGAGAGTCATGCCCAGCAGTTTTTTCATACTGTTGCGATATTTTTTGAGAATTGACAATGTAATGCTAAGGATAAATGATACTCGTATCTATCACGAACTTGGCAAAAATTACTTGTTACGCGAGTTTACGTCGCGGGAAGCCAAGGTTCAAAATATTCGAGTAAGTAATATTAACTTTAAGTAACAACTGTAGAAAGTAGCACTTGAAATTTTAATATGTTCCCTATCAACACCATACGTATGCAAACATATCAAAAACATAAAAATATTTTTATTAACGCATGGATATAATACTTCATGTTATGTATTGTTCTGTAAGGTATCACATGTATTAACCTAAAATATTCCACAGGTCTCTCCAGCGCTCTTCCTGGAGCCAAGTGAAATAGCGCCTCACTTGCCATTGGTCGGAAGTCACTACCACAAGTTAATAATACTTGAGAAGGAAGTGTCTAAATTAAACGAAGATACGATCAACTCCCGAGATGCGGAAAAGCAGGGTACATCCGCGAGCGAAGAAAAACCAGCAGAATCTAGTGAACACACGACAGACAGTTCCATTACTTAAAACTTTTGTGCCGAAGCGCCTGTGTTATGTGATATTGTATTCGTGAGGAAACATCAATGAGGAACTCACTTGTGCAGATCATAGACTCTCATCAGACTTTGATCATGATAAAACCCAAGGTTCTATATTTATGCATCGAAAGTAAAACAAGAGAATTATTTACAATGGCTTTTATCTCGGATTGATCAGTATCAAGTCCTCAGTTCGAAACAGATTTCGCTCTTATCATGCTTGTCACTTTAGTATCTACGTTTTTCTTCTCGTATCTCTGATTTTTAATAAAGATCTTCCCAAAAGAATTCGGTTCATCCCGATGTCGACGTAAGCTCTGCGGTATAAACTTTGCGCATCCGAATTATTCATTCGGCAAGGTACACGCCTCTATCGCGGATCGACACGTTGACAGAGGAGTATTAACAAAATAGAACGCACTTTTTACGCCCAGAAGTCATCTAGCGAATACGCTTATCATTAATTATCAACAATAGACTCTATCTGTTTGATAATCGCATCTACCTTTCTGATATGACACTTGCACAGTGTTCCTGTGTTCTACATTTTGCGAAAATGTGCCGTACCGTTCACTTGAGGAGCCTCATTGTGCTGAGTGTCGCTTTGCTCATTCGCGACGTCGACGCAGGTACGAGTTCACGATCGAGCGCGCGTACAGTTCGCCAGCCGTATACGGAGGTCACCGATCATTTCTTACCTTAACATTGTTCTGCGTCAGAGAGGAGAATCTTACCTACGTCGGTAGAGGTCCAGGAGGGCCAAGATGTCCAGGTGCAACTCCTGCAGATTTTAAAGGACGAAACATCGTGTTACGTGAGGACTCCGCTTCTTAACACGTGCAACCTCAAGGTAGCCGGCAGCGAGAAGAATGCCAGTTGCGACGATAGAATGTACTATTGGCCGGTGAACGGTGCGTGCGGCTTCTACGTGAAGAACGTGCAGAAGCAGGATCATGGGTTTTGGAGACTCATCTCACAGAACGAAAACTCCAAAGTGGTGGACGTCGTCATGATCACGGTGTTAGGTAGAGATCCAAGACAGCTCCGAGTTGAATTGAGTGACGAGCTCCAACTGACGGCAACGTTCCACCAATATTGTAATCTCTCGCTCGAAACAATGTAATACGACTCGCGCGTAGTCTGCAAGACGTTCAAAGGACATCTAAGGAAAAGTAGGACATCTTTAAGACGTCTCATTGTTGAACGAGAGATTATGACATTCGTGTGATCTTACTGTTACTCGATGTTCAGCGGGACTAACCGCGGGTATTCCCCACGTCGGCTACGATGTGGCCACGCGCACCGGCAGGACGGCACGGCACTCAGCATCGGGAATTCTGTGTTTCAGATCAATTCGACGCATCGGCGGAATCGCTGGAGATAACAAAGGGGATGACATACACGCTCACGTTCTCCGACATCAACGAATACTGCATAGTACGTACATATGCGTTCAAATGTTCCTGAATAGAGACCTACGAAAATTAACTCTTCGCGCGCTCACGGTGCCGTTATACTCGGTGCTCTTTCCTCCCGTGATCGTCCCTTCTCGTACGATCCTCTAACTCCGCGGGAAATTGTCGAAACAGGTACGGAATCCGCACGAACCCTTCAGCGTGATTGTGAACAATGTGTGCGGTGTGGAAATCGAAAAGGTGTCCACGGTGGACCATGGAAACTGGAGCGCCATAATTGGCGTGAGGGGCCGGATCGAGGAAACCATGAAGATGATCAACGTGTCCGTGTTCTGTAAGTTATTCGCGTGATATGACACCGAAACATTGCGGGCTGTAGTTACTGAAGCTTTAAGTCGGAGACTCGTTGTTATCGGCTGCTCATCGTTGTTGTCTTGTTCTTATCTCTCAGCTGAACACGTGAGTTCCGGGTACACCATCTCTGTTGACCCCGAAGCCGTGCATTTGTACTGCAACTACCAGGCACTGGACAAACACTTGACCCTGTGCAGATTCACGAAGTCCTCAGTCGACCAGGTATTCTCCAGGATGATCCGTAGGCCACGATGAGTTTAACGCGAGTGTAGGTTGCTTGGGAACCCAATAACCTCGACGCTCTCTTGCAGGTGGGATTCAGACTACGCGAAGGTATGCGCAAAGGCCGATACGAGTATTACGGTAGCGGGCTGGATGCGGGAGAATGCGGCCTGACGATTCAGTCTCCGGAGGAGAAGGACTACGGGCTTTGGTACTGCCTGATCAATACGCCGAATAAGTCGCCTATCGTGACAGCCATAATGGTTTCGAGGACTTTCGCGAAACGAGGTAAAACAAGAACAACGGAGGGAATTAACGTAATAATAAACGACGCGCAAATGCTAAGTGCAAACCCTGTCAACGATAACGAACGTGATTATGCCAATTACGAATGTAATTGGTGTATGGAACAGAGAACTCTTTTCAGCTACGAGATAGCTCGCGTATGGCGATCAACGTGTAATAGCAGTAATAGCAATGACAATAATGGAACATTCCATCGCGACAGCCGCGGACAGTATAACTCTCTCGACCGCCACCTCGCCTGTCATCACGACCGAAGGAAAGTTTCTCAGACTGGAATGCTCCTTGAGCGAGCCGTTAAGCTACTGTTGGTTCTCCGAGCCGAACGGGAAGATTCACCAGACCACGAATGAGACGAGTATGGCACTCAGGTGGGTACACGATTATAACAATTAGATTCGGAGTAAACGTCGATTTGTGATGAACCGTCGCTAGAAGAGCTTAACCGAGCGGTGTTGTTGCAGTAACGGTCCACAGGTAAATACTTATTGGTTCGGTAACTGCTCGATCGAGATTCCTGAAGCCAACAAGGACAAGCACAACGGCACATGGACTTGCCACATGGGACCCGCTTCACCCGGCATAGAGTTTATCGAAGAGATCAACGTTCGGATAGCAGGTACGGATGGTGTTGTCTAGACTCGACGCGAACTCCGCACAGTCGTCGAGTGCTACACGCGACGATTGTGCGAGTAAGGTATCGTTGCGAGGTCAAGTTGGTAAGTAAGTGACTCGGATGCTAAATATCACACGCGCGAATCCAGATACATCTCTGGCGGCGGTGGAAAAGTTCGTGTTTTCCGTTGACGACGACAAAGTCATCTTCCACTGCAAAACCGTGCCGCACGTGATGGCCCTCAATTACTGCAGGTTTCAATTGCCGATTGGATTCGGCATACATGTCACCGAGTACATCACCGAAAGCAAGTACGAGATTCCGTATACATATTTACGTATGTAATGCCAGAAGACATGTCTAGTATTCGACTTTTGCAAATAAAGAAATTGGGAGGCTCATACCTAACGAAACGTTTACTATATCGTTAATTGTACTGCCGTTATCTTTCGCATTACGTCGGAATTTTTGCAGTCCCCTCGTGCAGGACAACGTGCGTTATTGGTATAACGGAAAGGGCCTCGCGGCTGGCGATTGCGGATTGGTCGTCGAACCCGCAACTTCGATACACAACGGAAACTGGACATGCGGGGCGAAAATTGAGCTCATACCCGGCGATAGCGAGTCATTCGATACGATTTATTTCTCTTACAATAAGCCCCACAACATGGGTTTAATTACAGGTGAGAACATTGAAATTCTTCCTGCGTTACATGTAGCGTTACAAGCGTCAGCGAGAAAAATCGTACTTGATACTTACGTTTTCAACATGACAAATTCAGACAACACTTCGGGTATCGTCGGCATCGTTTTTGGTTCCCTGGGATTCGTTGTAGCTCTGGGAATCGTGATAATGTTCGGTATCAGGTTCAGAGAAACATACCGGCAGCACCCACAGCAAGCTCAGGATGTACGTATGACTGTGTTCTTATTTTTTAACAGGCGACACAATGTTCATCTCAACCGTAATCGTTGTTTCTGTGTAGATCGGCGATTTTATGCAGATGCCAGAAGAGCTCTCTCTAGATACAATATCGACCAACGCTTCGAGTTTCAATAGACAAAATATTAGCAGAAGCAGCAATAATAGCGGCAATAGCGGCGGTAACAGCGATAGAAGTATTAAAAGTAGTAGAAGTAATACCACTAATACCAACAGTAGTAACAGTAGCAATATCCTTTTCCAGCAGCACCTGTAACCAACAATTTCCGTTACGTAGTTAAATTATACACGTTACATCGCTGGGTCTGCTGATCGATAACTCTAACGAATAGAATATTGTGATAAGTCGTATTTGTCATAAATGTTGTATCAGCCACGTTTTTATCGCGTATCGAGTTTTACAGTAGCGCGGTGGATTAAAGATCTATGTAGTACTAAAGATCAATAGAGAATGATAAAAAAATTGAGATACTTATCTTGCAATCAATTGAAGGAGATAAACAAAAGTTTCATATGCGTCGCTTCCTTCTTTTTAGGCGTCGTCAATCATTGTCGGTTTGTATCCTCGTACTATCCGCTGCATAATACCTGGAAAGAAAAGATAGGTTAGACAAATGAGGAAAATATAAATGCGGGGAGGATCATGTCGCATGCGGTGCGACTTGAATGCTCAAACGCGGTCATCTTCGCCGTTCAATTTCATGAAATGACGTCGCGTAAGAGCATGCATTGCGACGTTGTCCCATGTCGCGTTCTCTCTCTCTCTCTCTCTCTCTCTCCCCCACCCTCCCTCCTTCCCTCCCCCTCCCCCTTCTCTCTCCCCTCCCCCTCTCTCTACCTATCTTATATGAATTTTAACATCATATCAAAATTTCAGCGCGTTAACATAGAGTCGAGCGAGCGACTCATCTGTCTGCGAACTCGAGATTCCGTTGTCGAAGTAACGTCTTAAGCGAGATTTAGTCAAGTCAAGGGCTGCGTGTCCCATTGTTCTCTTGCACGGTTTGACCTTGGGAAGGTCACGCCTGTTATACGCGCCTCACGTACCAGAAATTCTCTGCGCGCCATTCTTCGTGAATTCAAAGAGAAGAATGCATGCTAGAGGCGAGTCGCGTCGACGAGAGATTTTTTTCCTTCACGAAGAAGACTCCACGGAAGAATATATGTCGCATGTTCGTACGCTACGTCGATCGATCAGTATCGAGACGGAAAGAGAGAGAGAGAGAGAGAGAGAGAGAGAGAGAGAGAGAGAGAGAGAGGAGGAGGAGGAGGAGGAGGAGGAGGAGGAGGAGGAGTGAAACGTCCCGAGTAACAAATGTCGAAGACCGCGTACCGATAAGACTCCGATTAGACCCTGCGCGAAAGCTCCGGATCAATGCGTTCCGTTATAAACATCATCGCGTTTCTATCCTCTCCCGCCTGTCTTTCTTTCTCTCTTCTTCTCTCTCCCTATCGCCAGCCGCGAGTAGAAAATAAATATCAAAGGGAAAAGGAAGGAAGACACTCCCTCCCACCCGGCCCGGAGGAGAAGAGAACTGATCGGCTTTCGAGCCGGGGCGTCTTCCATCGTACGTTGGTGTTTATTCGCAGGCGCAAAAAACTTGGATGAATTCCATCGTACAGACTGGACGGGGCGGGAGGACAGAGAAGAGAAGTAAGAAGAGGAGAGGAGAGGAGAAGAGAAGAGAAGAGAAGAGAAGAGGAAGAGGAGAAGAAGACGACGACGACAACGATGAAGAAGGAGGAGGAGGAGGAGAAGAAGGAGAAGAGAAAACGGAGTGAGGGAGAGGAAGAAACGCAACAAGAGCAAGAAGCAAGGAGGTCGTCGACGACAGCAATCTCTCGTGAGTAGGCTTCTCCCATTGCCTCCGTCCCACCTTATAGCGCTCTCACACGCTACCAGCGGACGCGTAGGTGTTTCCGGCCGGCTGAAGAAGCACGCCCGTCTGCGCCCGTCGATCCAGAAGAAGACAGTCGATACAAGAGGGGCACAGAGGAGGACAGAGAAGGAGAGAAAGAGAGAATGAGATAGATAGAGAGAGAGAGAGAGAGAGAGACTCACGAAGAAGGAAAGGAAAGAGATGCAGAGAGGCGGGAGAGGGGGGAACGCAGAAACGACGAGGTGGTGAACGACGTAGGAAGAAGGAGATGGAGCGACCGAGAGGGAAAGGGAGACAGACGGGCTCGACCGAGAGACAGAGAACACTCGGCCGGAAGCAGTTACTCGCGCGATGTAACGAAAATATCAGGGCGTCCGTTTCGCAATCGGTCTGCCCGTGTCCGCCCGGGGTTTAATATAGAACACTCGCGGCCGGTCCCGTCGCGAAAACATCACGCTGACGTCGACCGTGCGCGAGTTCTTTCTCTGTCCCTCTCCTTCTCCCTCTCCTCCTCTCTCTCTCTCTCTCTCTCTCCCCCCCTTCTTGCCTCCCGCTCCTCATTCTCTATTCCACTCCGTTTGCTTGAGAAAAACGTCTCCTTTCCGCTCCGGCCGTCGTGAGCGCCGGCTCCCGGCCTTCTTCTTCATCTTCGTCTTCGTCTTCCTTCCTTCGGTCGGACGGCCGACTAGACGGCCGCGCGACTCGCGCGAGTCTCTAAAATTAGGCTCGTGTCCACTCGGCTCGGCGCGCCGCCACGGCGACGGATGACACCCGCGGCCCGAGAGTCGCCGGACCCGTCGAAGGTCTTTGTCCGTGACAGTGGTGTGCTCGCGGTGGCATGTATGCGACCTTTGAGTATAGCGGGAACAAGGTGGTCCGGCATCGCCGACGACCGGACCACGCCGCGTCACGCCGCGAGTCCGCGTCTTTTCGTCTCAGCATCTCGAAGCGAAGCGCGACGACGACGAAGACGACGCGACGACGAGGACGGCGATGAGAGAAAGAGAGAGAGAGAGAGAGAGAGAGAGAGGCAGCCAACGACGTCGTTGTCGTCGGGTTCTTTCTGGAACTCTGGCAGAAGCGAGAGGGGTCGCACGACGCTTTGCGAATTTTTACACCTCGACAGATTCGAGGACATCGTTCTATCGGATGCGAAGCGACGAGTAACGTTGCGTCACTGCTGCGCGCTCTTTTATCGCGACACATCGCGAAACGGGAACGAGCGACGTTACGTATGTGTATGTGTATGTGTGTAGACGTAACACATCCGGTCTATGACGTTCTCGTGTCGCGGACGCGACGCTGTTCGCGACTTTCAGAAGAATCCGTTCTTCCCAGCCGCGCTCTCCGCAGCCTCCCCGCGCCGCCTCGGTCACATCCCGCTTTGGAAAGTCCAACAGATGGCCGTTTCCATCAGCGTCGATTAAAGCTCAACCTGAGTCTGAGTCTTCAAGTTCTGAGTAGAGTTGAAGTTCAGGTCGAAGCTTTACCCAGGATCGACGTTGACAGGAACGAACAAGGACAAAATATGAGAGACCCTTAGGTCATCCTGCAGTGTCCTTGGGAGATTCTGCTTAGAGTGACATCAGCAGGGTGTCTTTGGCTAATTGGGGATGGTGATCGACACAATCTCGAATCTACGCTGCATCGATATCATTCCTCTTATCCGATACGCTCGACAAATAAATTTCCCGTCTCCCTTCGCTCCGCTTCGAGCATATAAAATACTTGTTGTTTCATTTGATCGAGGCTCGCGCGATAATAATACCTTATCGTAATCGATAATGCCTCACTCGATGCACTGAATATCCGTAAATGCGTCGGAAAAATAAATCGCCCCTCCATCTCCCGAGTTCGTACCCGCTCTCCTCTTCTCGGCCGCGGTTTCCGTAATCTCTCCAAGATTCCTTTGCGTGTCCTTCCTACGTCCTACGAAGCAATCTCGCCCCGAACACAGAGGGCGTAACGGCTAGGAAGAACAGACGCGCTATTGACAGCCGCGCGACAACTCCCACGCTTCATCTGTCAGACCTGGTCAATTGGGATATACGGAGGAGGAGGTGGATGATGATGACGACGACGACGATGATGATGATGATGATGATGATGATGTTGATGTTGATGATGAGAGGAGGGGGAAGAAGACCCGTATGATTTTCACGGGATCTCCCGGCATCGTGCTTCAAACACGGAACTCCATTGTTCACCGTGTCCCTCGTGACGGCCCGATGTGTCTTTTGACATGCTTAACGAGTCGCTAAGAGAGGCCAATCTTCCGTTGTTGCTGCTGTGTTCGTCCGAGCGTGGAGGAAGGGATAAGTAACAGCTCGGCGCGCGGGGAGGGGGCGAAGAGGGCGAGGGGCAGGCTCAGGGGGAAGGTGGAAGAGGGAGGGCTGGTACTGGCTCCTCGAGGCTTCGTGGAAGACAACGGTGGTGGTGGTGGTGGTGGTGGTGGTGGTGTTGCTGGTGCTGGTGCTGGTGCTGTGCTGGTGGACGGGGAGGCGAGGAAGGAATGCCACTTCCGGTCACATGACACCACTGGACCAGCCGGCCACTTTGCTCTCTTCTTATTTTCGGCTCGTTGCGCGCGCGTCCGGACCTTTCCACGCCTCCTTCCTCCCGACCGACCGCCGCGCTCCTCTTTCTCTCTTCTTGATTAACGCGCGGCATCACAAATCGGTCACGAACGAGAGGAACGGATGGACTGATGGATGGATGAATGGATGGATGGACAGACGCGGACGACCGTGTTCCTCGACTTTCGTTAACGAATCCGCTCGATCATTTCGGGCCGCACCCGCGAGCCATCAAAGGCTCGAGGAAAGTTTGGACAACGCGTAAAAATGTCGCCCTATTTTCCTTTCGAGCGCTGCGTGATAATTTTTGCTATTAAACGAGAGAAAACTCGAGGGGATATGATTGGCAAAGACGAAATAACGGTAAAAATGTAATAAGAAATTAAATTTTACGCACCACACGCACACACTCTCTCTCTCTCTCTCTCTCTCTTTTCCTCCCGAAATTTCTCGAAGTGATTTCTCACTCGCGAAGGGTCAGAATTTTCACCAGTTTTCTCGGACTTCGAGAGCCTCGCCGCGTGACATCGCTCCTCCCGTCGAAAACGCCATCGAGTCGGCGACGGAGAAGAAGCGGAGGTGCCGGCAAAAATCTTCCCCGAGGAAAATTCCGCTCGTTACCTTCCACGTCGCGACCGAGCAGTCCGTTAATCCCGTTAGCGGCATAGCACCCTGCGTGCACACAGCGGCGAGCTTAATCTTCGAGATAATTATTAATTACGCTCGTGTGACGTATTATAATCCCGCCGTTAACACCTCCTAACAACCGCTATCTCTCGGGTTTATCCTTCTGTCTCGGGGAAGAGAGAGAGAGAGAGAGTGAGAGAGAGGAGGGGGGCGGAGCAGACAGACACAGAGTGAGCGAGAGAGAGAGCGAAAGAGAGAGAGAGAGAGCGTGAGAAAGAAAGAGATAGAATGAAAAAGAAAGAGAGAGAGAGAGAGCGTGAGAAAGAAAGAGATAGAATGAGAGAGAGAGAGAGAGAGAGAGAGCATGAGAAAGAAAGAGATAGAATGAGAGAGAGAGAGAGAGAGCATGAGAAAGAAAGAGATAGAATGAAAGAGAGAGAGAGAGAGAGGGAGAGTCGCTGCTCCTGCTCGACTCTCCTTGGTTGCGCTGCCAGCAACGTTACGGCAGAGCTGCATGGCGCGCCGGGCTAACGGGCTTACATCCGCTCGCTTCCTCCGCCGCGCGCCGTGGTGCATTCAATTGGCCGCTAATGATGATCTGGAGCCACTCGGTAACGATCGGCTTGTCGATCGGCCGCAAAGCAAATATCCGCCCGGTGAGAGCCGCGCGCTACCCGACGACGCTTGGTGTGCTGGCCCCGGCAACGAGAGACGAGACCCTCAGAAGGATATGTATTCCTGGATGTTGCACGAGCGAGCGGCACCGGAGACGAGAGAAAAAGAACATACAGGACGGGCCGCGGTGTGTCTGTCGACGTAGCCGCTGCGGTTTCCAGCTGAAACGCTCCCCGCTCACGGTTTCTTTCTTCTTCCTCTGCCTGTTCTCCTTCTTTTCTCCCGCTTGCGATCGCGACACGCGAATAAAGTACCGATACTTTATTACGATCGTCATCCTCCACTCCTCCTCCGGGCCGCGCGTCTCCGCACGGAGAGAGAGAGAGAGAGAATTTTGCAGCAAAACTCGCTTCCGAGTCTACATCCTCGAGCTACTTTTCGTAGCCGGGGAAACTGCTTTTTGTGCTCGACATTCTCCCGTGCGATTTATTACCCCTCCGTCTCACGTACGCTACTTTGGATAATTTAGGACCTGAAAGGAGATCTACCGTTAACAAGCTTACCGCGCAAATGTTGCTCAGCAAGATCGGCTCTCTCGGCGAGACTCTCGTCGCGCTCTGCCAGAAAGGACAATAAAATTGAGGGTCCCGCATGAAGAAGAAGAGCCGCAATATTCTCTCCGTGTGCAGCGCGAGGTGCTGGCGGAGTCACCGTCTGGTCCCGTAACATTTCAATGCGCACAAATAAATAATCGAGGCGAAATGTCAATGACGTAATGACATAACGTGAGGCGTGTATAATCGACGGCGATACATCTTCGCACGTGCGAAGCGGCGTCACTTTGCATGTATTCAGAGGCTGCGAACTGTACACTTACACACGTGAGAACAAAGGAATTAGCCGGCCACGTTCGCCACGGCGTCAACCGTTGGGGAGCGCAAAAGTTGACCAGAGTCAGCAGCAACATTCGCATCGGGGAATTAACAGTACGTTAATTAACATTCCGTCTTGCGTACGCGAGCCCGCTCTGATTCGCGACCTTGATGCACGATCGCGAGCTTCGCTGCGAAGGAAGACGAAGAGAGGAGTCGTGAAAAGAGGAGGATCGAACAACGTTCGGATCGGGATGGAGAAACAGCATCACGAAAACTGTCTTCTGCGAACGTGCTGGATATATAAATGCACAAGTATATACATAGTCTATGTATGTATGTGTGTGTACATATATATATACATATGTATATGTGCGTGCATATATATATGTATACATATATATATATTTACAAGACATATATATATATACAGAAATATAGACTTAATATTAATAAAATCTTATCTTCTTTCGCGCTCGCTCGAGACACACCCGCGCGCACGTGCGCACAACGCGAGGCGCACGCGCACCACACACACACACACACACACACACACACACACACACACACGGCTCATGCACCAACACATACACAACATACATATACAGACTCACGCGCCTACATACACACGCACACGTACGTATACGCACGCACTCGCGTTCCATTCACGCCCTCGTTACCCCTCGTGTCCTTTCGCGCCACCGCCAATCGATCGGTATGTGTGTGCAATCGCATTGTCCTCGGCGAACGTGTACGTTCAAGCGGCAATCTCGATTCGGGTCGTGCATAAATCTGTCGTCGATCTCGCGATCGATGCGCATTAAAAGACGAAGTTAGACGGACGAAACACGAGCGGGACGAGGTATCGCGCAACTCACGTTGCAACCGATGCGCGGCTCGATCCTCGAATGGTACGATCGCAAACATTTCACCTCCCGGTATAATATTCAATGCATGAAAATATTGCTTTTGTATCTCGCCGTTGACATGCTCGGTGCATACTCGTCTAGCGCAACTTTCATCGTACCACTTGAGGCTCGAGGGCCTCGACAATGAACGTTCGCTGAAGCCACTTGAGCGACGCAAAGGTCGAAAAGACGCGGCAAGCCTGGGGAGGCTCGGCTTCAATTCTATGTTCTGCTTTTCGACACTAGGTGGAGCTCGGAACGGCAACGGAACAGCGAGCCGACGGGATTGACGTTTCAACTCTTTCCTAGTCGACTAATTTTCATCTCTCTAATTTTCTCTCTTTCCTCTCAGGCTTTGAATATAAGATGATCTTTTCGACAACAAAACTAATTCTTTTTTTCATAAATAAAATCGTCAAGTGTAATGAAGTATGACGACTGTTTTACCGATACAAGGAGTCGATGTCTTGTCGGAGGAGGAATAAAACTTGCTGTCTTTCGGACGTTTGCGTCAACTCTCGTCGTGCGTTTCATCCGTCACTCTCCGAATTCAACAGAGAGAAAATGCTCTTCGGAGAGCAGCCAGAAGGGCCGTTGGCACCGTCGTCTTAATTGGCTCAAAAGTCGCGGAAGGACAGAGGTCCGCTCATTTCGCTTCGCTTCGATAATCGCGGTTCCGGTCTCTCACGTTGCACTCTTCGCAATCGCCTCGCATTCGAAGTGCTTCTCCTCGCGTCGTCTCGCCGCACTCTCGCACTGAGGCCATAACGAGATCTTCCCGAGATCTTTCCCTCCTCCGTCGCGTCTACGCTCTTCTTGTTGCCATTGTTCGCAATGTCTGCCCTTTGCAAGAAGGGTGAGCGAGCCGCCGAAAGAAAGAGAGAGAGAGAGAGAGAGAGAGGGAAGGAGAGGGGAAGAAAGATGCCAAGCTGTTCTTCCGCGGCAGAAATCGCGCTCGATATACAGCGTCGTTGTTATTCCGAATGTCGAAAAGCCTTAACGATGGCTCTACTGTGAAATCGCGCCAGCCGCATATATGTTACCGGAAAAAAATAAAGAGTAAAGAAGATGAAACGACGAGAAGAATATTTTTAATTCGGTGAGAAATAATATGAGTGTATCGTCTGCGATATATCACTCGAGGAAGATGAAGAGAAAGAGTGAGACCGAAAGATGAAGAGATGAGAAGAAAATTCCAAATTCGGCGAGAAAGAGTGCGAGTGTATCCGCGATGTTACCGATTATGAGTCCCTATTTATAGGCGAACGAAGGCGAAGAGGGAACCAGGCACAGGGGATCCCCCCCTTTCTTGCGTCTCCGCTCCCGCACGCACGCCGCACGGCCCGTTTCTAGACGACAAACGCCCCGACTGAGGGAGGGAGGGAGAGAGAGAGAGAGAGAGAGAGAGAGAGAGAGAGAGAGGCGGAGAGAAAAAGAGAGAGAACGCTCGCAGGACTAGATAATACTGGAGAGAAAAATATCGACAAAATGGAAACGTGAAGTCCTTTTCGCGACGCTTCCATCATTTTCCGTCTCGCGCATATACCCCCCTCCTCGTCGCCCAACTTTTGTCGAGATATCCTCGTCGCTATCTACAAATCTTACGAATAAAGCCGCGAGTTCGCACAGCACGAAAATTCTATCGCCTTCCGTTATATCTTTCTCCGTTTCTTTCCTCTCTCTCTCTCTCTCTCTCTCTCTCTCTCTCTCTCGCTCTCTTTCCCTCTCCTCCCACCGACTTCCGTCCTTTTTATCGCCGGAAAAGCTTTGTTACGCTTACGCGGGCTTCACTCAGCGGCCATATTGGTCCATGTCATTGGTACAATTCGCCTTACGCCTCCTCCTTTCCTCACCCCCCCGTCCCTCATTGTTCTATACCAATTCGCATCTCGCTCTATGATGAACCATACACTTAGCGTTACAGCCGCAAATAAATTAACCGTATAAAAGTTTGTTCTTTATACAAACATAATATACAATATACATTTCTATCTATCTATATATATATTTATATATTTATATATATATATATATAATATATATACTTTAGTTTTTTTATTTACTTTGTGTGGAGTGTGTCTGTGTCTCTGTGTAAGCATGTGTGTGTGTGTGTGTGTGTGTGTGTGTGTTTGTTCGTCTGTTGCGTGTCTTTCTATGTGTGACCCCCCTCCCCCCGACCCCGATATATTACCGTCCGCCCGATTTCGCTCGACGCGCGAATACGTACGTACGACTCGCGCGCACGCACGATGCGTATAATTCATTATGTATAGAGTTATCTATGCGTAAGTGGTATGTCTGGACGATACGCTGGCACTCTCGCGTACCCTCATTCCTCTCGACCATTCCGTTCGCCATACAACGCGCATGTGAAACGCACGAACACGCGTACACGCACATGCGAGCACACATTTACTCACGCACACGCACTGCTCTCCCCCCCCTCACTCGCTCTCTCTCTCTCTCTCTCTCTCTCTCTCTCTCTCTCTCTCTCTCTCTCTCTCTCTCTCTCTCTCTCTCTCTCTCTCTCTCTCTCGCACCCAACAGACACACACGCACACACATACACGCATACACAAACGCGCACGCACTTTTCGTTCATGGAAGAATAATAAATAAAGATATTCGCGATCGACACGTCAGACGTACAGTTTCGTCAAAATCCGGTATCGTTCTCCTCGACTTAAATGCAGGTGTTGTACTTGATGCAATTCACTCTTGCTCCCTCTGCGACCGCACACGCACGCACGCAGCCTGCCGACGTCCGACGACGCGGCGAATGGATCTCCACCCCGACCGCGCGGTGTGTCCACGTGTTTATCGCACCTGGGACGGGGGGAGAGGGCAAAGTCCTTGACAGGCCTCCTCCTCCTTCTTCCTCCGGTGGCGAACGCACGCATCGAGAACACCACGGGAGCATGCAACAGCCTACAACCCTTACAGGCCTCCTCTCCACTCAGAGTTCCGGCGTGACCGGGTCCAACAACCTCTTCTCCGGATCCCTGGAGTCCCCGATGTCGCCGGCGATCGGATGGTGCCTGCCGCCGGCGCCTGAACCGACCGTGCTCGGGTTGCAACGGCAGCCCTGCGCCGCGTAACGCGCGTAGCACGCCTCGCAGAGGGTGACGCAGCCCTTGAACGGCCAGTAGCACAGCAGACACGGCATGATGAGCGTCAAGGCGCCCAGGCAGGCCCACCTGGAGATCTTGCGGTGGCCGGTGCAAGAGCACGGCTCGTCGGAGCAACTCGCGCCGACCTCGCCGTCCACGCCGCTAGCCACGCCGCCGCTGCCGCCGTCCACGCAATGGTAGAAGAGACCTTTCACACAGCACAGGCAGGAGGCGTAGTCCAATATGGTCTCGGCCGAACAGAGGCACGTGTTGTCGCAGAGCCACCTGCTCGGCAAAGGCGGCGGCTCACGGCACGATTCGCAGCGGCACTTGTCGCAAAAGTCACATATGATCGACAGACCGGCCGGATCGTAGGGTGCCCGTGCGCCGAGGTTGTTGGCGGGTTCCTTGGTGAAGGAGACCGGCTGCTTGGTGACGGCGGTGCCGGTCGCCGGCGCTGTCGTCGTCGCCGACGTGGCGATGGAGGAGACACCGGTGGTGGCGCCGCCGTTGAAGCCACTACGCAGACCTTGGTGATGGTTCCTCGCGCGGCCACGTGTCCGATGCGTCGGTACCAAGGCGGTGTCCGTCACAGTCTCGTGATGAAGCCGCAGGTGGTGATGATGGTGGTGACTGAGGTGCTGATGGTTGCTATGGTGGTGCCTCCTCTCGATCTTCGGGCAGTCGCCGACGACCTTGTTGTCGGCGTCGAGACGTCGTTCTTGGTTGCAGCACGAGTGCTTAAACGGCGTCTCGACGTACTCGTTGATGGTCCGCTCGCCGTCGGGTCGTGGCGTGGCTAAGCTCACCTCGCCGAGCGGGCTTCTGGGCGACGACGACGACGACATTGTGGTCGTTGTCGTTGTCGTCGTCGTCGTTGTCGCCGTCGTCATCGTCGTCGTTGTCGTCGTCGTCGTCGTCGTCGTGACGTCCGCGGGTGACGCCAGCAGGTTCCTGGAATTCGCGTCGCTCGACGTGTCCACGTTCTGCGGACGACGCAGGGCCGGCCTGCTCCGAAAGGAACTCGACAACGGAGTGAGGGGCATGGTAAGGGGTGCTATTCGGGACGTCGGTGTCCCGGGTACCGACGCCGTCGTCGTCGTTGTCGTCGTCACGTTCGGCGGGGGTGGCGGTGGCGGCGGCACAGACGGTAGCCGAGGCGGCGGGAATGGCCGACTGTGATCGTGCACGCACTCCTCCGCGAAGACGACACGCGGGTGATGATCCGCGGCGTCCTCGCCGGTGCCACAGTCGTCGGCACCGCCGCCGCCGCCGCCGCCGCCGCCGCCGTTGCCGCCGCTGCCGCCACCGCCGCCGGCAGTGGCGGCGGCGCTGCTGGTGAAGCTACCAGCGGCGGCATTGTTCGTTCGCGAGGAAGGGTGCCGCGTGAGCGGCGGTATCGCATCGTTACGCGACATCGGCCGACCTCTCACTTCAAGACGGCCCGCTGCTGTTGCTAGGCTACGCGTCTCTGGACGACGCTGCTGACGGTGGTGCTGATGCCAGTGATCCTGATGACACTGCTGCTGCTGCTGCTGCTGCTGCTGCTGCTGTCGATGCTCCACCTTCTTCGTCGCCTCCAGCTCCTCCCTCTCCTCCCAACGATGCTCGAGACGGAGACCAGCGGTGCTGGCTGTTCCGCGGACTCCTCGGTCCGCTGTGCTGACGAACGCGAGTCCACCTGGTGCGTTTGACACCGTTGTTGCTGCTGACAACGACGCTGATGACAATGATGATAATGATGATGAAGAAGATGATGGCGATGATGCTGCTGCTGCTGCGGCACGACCCGTCCAAACCGGTACCGCCCGCTCGCTAGCCCATTGTTCGACAGCCGTCGGTGGTGTACCTGGGACCGATGGACGCTGACTTGACGTTGGGGTAAGTGTCGCCTCGGTAATCCGCACTGCCCAGCCCGCACGAGGTGGTGGCACTCTCGACGAGGGCGTTCCATTAGCGAGGATGGGGCTCGATAATGCTCCGCGTCCGCTTCCTCTCGCCCTCGCGACACGCGCTTCATCCCCACCTGAAAGCACCATAATATCGAGATGTGATTATATATCGTGTGCAGACATGAGAAGGGGAAGAGAGAGGGGGAGGCAAATCAGCGTGCAAACGCGGGAGAGCCTGCGTTCTGCAGGCCTCGAGCAGAAATCGAGCCTCGTGGCTGGAAAGTCTCAACTAAGGAAGCCAGGAAGATCGAGCAATCACTGAAACTCGAATATCTTATTGTATTGTAATTCTATTGTATTGTAATGTATTGTAAAAGATATCTTATTGTAATTCCCCCATCGCTTTAGAAAAATCTTTAACGAAATGACGTGGCGGACGACAAAAATCGATTGCGAGCGTCAGCGGCCAACAATGAGCCAACAACTGTTATCGCTCAAGTACGACCGCTTGGTCCTACTTCTACTCGAGTATCTACCGCGACTCGCTCTTTCGTCCCAGAGGGAAGTCCGGAGCGTCCTCCGGAGCAGCGATATTCAGTCGTCATCGACACGACTTTATAGTCGTAGTAGCCTCGCGCATTTATCCAAACTGTACTTTCCGCCCAACGTTCTCGCTCCGGCGCGGAATTCCCGCGCAAGGTGGTAACCGCGGCGCGGTGGCAGCGGTGCGGCAACGCAGCGGGGATTGCGATTTTTCAGCGCAGCTCGGAGGAGAGGAGAATCCCGGAGGTGGTCCCAGCATGCGCGCGCGCGCGCGCGCGCGCGAATACGAGCGGCGGGTGAAAGTGAAGCCTCGGCGCGTAGAGTTTCCCCGCGCGCGGGCCGAGAAATCGGGATGGCCGCAGGAGGAACGAAGAAACGTAGGACGCGCGGCGGACGAAGGAGATACGAGCGAACGGGAGTACCCGACGAGGCGTCGGCACGGAGCTCTCTCAGCTCAGCTCGGCTCCGGCACCTACGCGGCCGCGGACGGAGCTTCGACGGTCTCTCGACGTGGGCGAGAACGCGCGCGAGTGGGCCGCGGAGTTCTCGATTCGGTGGTCAGCAACCCACTCGCAGCGCCCACGGCTTGTGCGGCGGAGGTACAGAGGAGCGAGGCGAGCTCGAGCGAGCGCGTCCGACCTCCTCCTCGTCGCCGTCGCCGACGACGACAACGACGACGGCGACGCAAGCACCGGCGTGCGCGCGCCGTTATACGTCGCGCTCACGAAATCGCGCCGGCTTATCTCGCGAAACTGCGCCGTTGTGCTTTAAATTTGACTTTTATATTTCCCTAAGGTAAACCAGATGTAATCAGGTTGGCTCGGCGAGCGCGCGCGGGCCGGGGAGGAGCCGACCGCGTCGCCGAGCGGTCGCTCCTCGGCTTCGCGACACGGCCGAGAACACTTGTTCAATTATTTATACTTCCGCCTGTGTGAGCGGTAATTTACTACGAGCGAAGATTGTTAATATTATACCGCGAGTGCGAGAGAGAGTCGGAGGAGAAGATCTCGCGCGATTAGAGTCCACCCGGCGGCGGCGGCGGCGACGACAACGACGACGACGACGACGACGACGACGACGACGACAGAGGCGAGCGCGCGCTCGTTAATCCCTGCGCGAGGCGAGACGCGCGAATCTCGCGACGCCGCCACGGATTGTCAGCCACTGCCGGTCTTACGCGCCGTTGTGCGAGCGCGAAGCTGCCTTCGAAATTATATTGTTGTCGCGCTGATTATATACCTGCCGCCGCCGCCGCGCTCGCGAGCGTCCGCTCATTCACCTAAAGCGGCGTCAGCGCGCGCCGGTAATTGAGGAACAGCTGCCCGGATCCGAGAGAGACCGCCGACGACGACGACGACGACGGTGGCGACGACGACGTAACCAGACTCGCGTCGTCGGCGTCTTCAACTTTCAAGCTCGGCTCGTGCGCTCGATTATTACGCGTCTTCCGAGAATCGCGCATGTGTGTGCGTGTGTATGTGCGTATCGAGATCATTAATCGTGGATGCTCCGCGAGCTTCCTCTGGCTCCGTTTTATCAGTCGTTCCACTTGGTCGTCCCCCTTGATGCAGACGCGAGCTGTATTAGGGTTGCCCATGAGAAATCGAGTGTTTCAATGTGAAACTCACTCGCGTGTCAGCGTCCGCGGACGCGGCTTTTATCGCGCGTTTCTCGTCGATGACGCGATAAGCTGAGTACCCTTCAGGAATATCGGTCTCGCGTATCGTATCGCGCGCGCGCGCGCGGCTCGGCTCGATGAGAGAGATTCATCGGAATCGGCGATCCGAAGCTTTGCGGATACCCGGGGCTGCTTATGAAAGCGCGAAAGCCCGCGGCGGCAGCATTCGCTACGGATCTCTCGGATCTATTCTGCCGACCTAACGTTTTATTTACGTCACCGTGTACGTGCGCGGTCGTAACTGCACCGACGTATTTTTACCGTCGCGGCGACGACGTGCGCGCGACCGGCTCTCCTCCGAGCCGGTCGGGAGAATCGAGTATCCTCGCGAGCGATACACTGCGGAAAACAAAAAGAGTCGTGAGAAAATCCCTCGCTCTCTCGGATTTCATTCAATATCTCTCGCGGGCGCGGCGCAACAACCACCGCTCCTCCTCCTTCCTCGCGCCGCTCTCGCGCGCGGAAAGGAGCGCTCTGTGACGCACACGCGCGCAAAAAATATATGTGCACGCGTACGTGTGTGCGTGATACACACACACACACACACACACACATATCCACGTCCATGTGTCCCACCGAATGTGACATTGCTAGTTCCCCATCGACCGTGCCGTTCGCGCCGTCGAATCCGTGATTCTGGCCGCGTCGAGGCCCCGATTGCGTCACTCGCCTCGCCGCGAGCACATACATTCATACATAATCAATTAATTTTTCTGCAAAAGAATTATGCCTATCGGACGAACGCGAAAGAAAGAGAGTCATTGACGGGCGTCGCGGTGCAGAAAAATGATTTCGTTAGACACGATTTATCCTCGACACACGATCGCCGCCATCGCTTCCCACTGGAGGACGATAAATTATTAGTCGGCGGAATAAACAGGCAGTTTCCCAAAACAAAATCACCCGCTCCGTCTCTCTCTCTCTCTCTCTCTCTCTCTCTCTCTCTGCACCCCGAGATGCGGACTTGCGCGCTCACCCGATATATACACGCACACGTAGAGCGAATCCGCAAAGAGCACGCGCCGGCCTCTTTCGCGTCTCTTTGCATCCGCCCCGACAGATCGCGCACAACTTGTGTGTGTGTGTGTGTGTGTGTGTGTGACATCATCGCGTCTCTTTCGAAAATTCGACTTACGCCACTTTTGGGACGAGCGACTCCGGCCGCGCTAGACGATGCCAAGGAGCGGAGCTCGCGCGCTCCCGTCACGACGCGCCGAGTGAAACAGGCGGGCCATTCAGAAAGGGTGCGCTCTCGCGGAGTGGAATGCGCGCGGGTCGGCTATCGTCGACCGACTGCCATAGGTCAAAGCTTTTAGCCGCTCCGCGCCAGCCGTCGTCCGCGCGCAGATAAGACGAGAGTGTTTCGCGAGCGAGCGAGCGAGCGCGGCCGGCCGGTGCGCGAGCGACCGATTTGCTTCGAGCGGATCGTACGACCTCGCATCGGCAGCGCGACGACGCCGACGCCCGGCGTCGGCGTCGGCGTCGCCGACATCGCCGGCGGCACCGTTATAGTTACAGTTCCCCGTTGAGTTTCTCGTGAACCGCGACGTGAACCGCGGCTCGTCTTTTCGCGCTGAATATTGTTTTATAGTTGATCTGTGGAGGGAGGGGGAGGAGGTTATGCAATGTTCAATTGACCCTTTCAGTTCGGCCGTGAGTCCTTCCGCAGGTTACTTGTCCTGGGAAAAGAGTTGACGACTCTGAGGGTTCGTCCATTTCCTTATTTTTTATGAATGGAATTTTTTAACTCCTTTCTCGCGGAAAGGATTCTTTCTGAAACATTACTCGAACCGGGCTCTTATGTTTTTATTGAGATACCTCTGAGTTTTCGAGAAAGATTTCATGAAATTTTCAATGAAAAGCCCAAAGGGAGCCAACGGGATTATGACTTTGAGTGATTTTCGCCGACTTTTCCGCGGCGTTGAGAGTTCCTCGCGGTCGAAATTTCGGTCACCTTAAAGTTGATGCAAAGTACCGCTGCGGGGTGTTTTCCTTTTCATTCGTTACTCGAACGTCTGCGAGGCTGATTTGAAAGTGCCGCGATCGTATTTTTCTCTGTCTCTCTTTCTCCCTTGCTCGCGGAGATATTCGAGTTATTTCATCGCAGATACGCGCCGGTCGACCGCGTTCGCGGATTTTCTCGGTAACGATCAAACGAACATTGAATCAATCGCGAACCGCGCGCGAATGGAATGGACTTCGGGGAAAAATCCCGATAAACGAATCGATGACGGTGCGATGATCGATACTACATCCGCCTGCCGCGCGCGTTCATCATCGAATTGAACACGCGAGCGTGAAATCGAACGTTGAGAACGAAGAGTTTGAAGAATAAAATTCAACAAAATCGCATCGATCGCTCCCCGCAGCTCTGCGGGCGCGCGCGCGCTCAAGCGGAATTTTATAGTAAAAGCTTGGTAAAAAATGGTAAAAATTTTACAGTACCAGTCCAGATTTTTCCCTTTACCGCCAAATCGGAGGAGAGACACATTTTACCTGAACTTCATGCACGCGCTATTTATACACTTGAGAACCTCGCGGACGTTTATATCGTCGCAAAAATGCATCGCGCTTCTCCGCGCGAGATAAACTCTACCGATAAACTCCACTTCCGCGCCAGCAGAAAAAATGGAAAAATATATCGCGGGGCGGGAGTGTTTAATCCGGGAGAAGCCGCGGTATGCTGCGCACGCCGCACGTGTGCGCTTTTTATACTGACGTAAGCGAGTATCTGCAAGCCCGACGACGAGAAAAATGCTGTTTGCGATTGATAAACTGAGAATAGATCCGATAAGCCGGTCAATTAACGTCGACAAGTGAATTTTAACACGTGCGCGCGCCCCCGGCCCCGGGGCTCGCACCGTCGAGAGCTGGACGTCGCGAACGATCCCCCCCCCCGCGTCCTCGCGCATTGTTCGCGAGACGATTCTTCTTCTTCGCCGTGCATCGATAGACGCGCCGGGCGTTTTTCCGCTCGAGTCGAACGCGCGGCGCGGCCGAGAAGGCGCTGTATTGCGCGGGAATGCGCTCGCGTACGGACGCTCGCAAACGACAAGCACGCGCGTGCGCCGCCGCAAACAGTTTATCAACGGCAGTCGGAAACGCGTTGACGATAAGACCGGATAAGTCCTTCCTGCGATATCGGTTTCCTCCGCGTGGTCTAAATACGTAAAAATCAACGAACCGTCGCAGCGGCAAGTTTGTCGGATTACACGCGCCGATAAGGCGAAAAGAATTTCGGAATATTTACGAAACGTCCTCCCCCCCCCTCTCCCTCTCCCTCTCTCTCTCTCCCGGCCGAGCGAGCCGTAATTACTCGCGCGAAGCGGCGTTATCGCGAGAAATTGTGCAAAACCGTGAAGATCCCGTCGCGACGTGATAAACTCGCGACGGTCTCAGGCAAAATAGGTCATAGTGGACGTGTCGGTCGCAAGGCGAGGCGATATTATCAGAAGTTTCATTGAGTCGGCGATATTTCGCAAAACGCCGCGAGTGACCGCGAGAGCGTGTGCGCGCGCGGCAGCCTCGCGGCGGGAAGGACAGATTATTGCGAGACGAGTCGCGCGCACGCGTTCTCGGGTAACATTTCAGAGAAATGATTTTCTGTGCTCGTTCAATCGCACAGACCGACAGAGAGACAGATCGGACAGAGAGACGGCAGGGGGGGGGGAGGGGGACAGGCTGAGGGGGAGAAACGCGAGTCCGCTGCGCGGTTCGCAATCGCCGAATTCGTCCGTATCGAGAGACGCTTCAGAGCGTCGTATAAGGCTTCTTTCATGCGAGCCCACGAATGCCGCGCTTCAATATAGCGGCCTTTAATAGCGTTCGGAAACAAGCACGATAAGACCGGATACGTTCTTCCTCCGGTTATCCGCTTCCCCCGCGGTTCGGACTTCGTCGGCGGCGGCGCGATCCGCTAACGAGTTTCAATTACGCGCCGGCGACGATAACGCGCGTCTTCTTCTCGGACGAGCGAACGAGCGTCTGCGAAGACGTACGCTTGCACTGGAATGTGTGAAATAAGTGAATGAATAAATAAATAAATAAATAAATAAATAAATAAATTTATTTATTTATGTATTCATAGACGAATTTTTCAACATACACGCGGAGCCGTGGCAAGTTTGTGGCGAGATAATGCACGATCGTAAAGATAACTGAATTTCGCGCTATTTATAAACTGGGAACCGTCCGCTATCGAGCAATTTACGCCGGCCTTCGGCAGAGTCCGCGGCGTTGCTCAGCGAGATAGCGTCCGTTTCCGTGCTGAAGCAGAAGACACGGCAGAGTCGGGTGGAATTTCCGAAGCTCCGATATCTCCTACGCGTGCGAGGATTTGTTTATGCGCTCGTATTTACACGTAAGCGGGATCTCGCGGCACCCGTGAAACTCGCCGATTGCACTTTTACTGCGGCAATGAGCGCGGCACGATAAGCGCGCGCGAGGAGTCGCGTTCGCGATAGCGCCGTCCAGAGTTTTTCTGCCCGACATCCGCTCCGCATCTCCGAGGCGCAGCGAGAAAATTCATCAAGTCGCGGGACGCGGGAGCGACGATAAAGCCACACGATGAAAAATCAGCCGAGCGATTCTCAGCGGAGCGGCAGCCGCGACGACTACTGTCGCGGCACTTGCGATCCGGGATCTCGCAACGGTTAATTAGAGACATTCCGATTGGGTGTCCATTAACGCGCTCGATTCGACGCGGGTTCGCGCGACGGCGTAAATAAAATAATTATACGAGTCACGAGTGAGTTAACCGGCTAATTGGCTAACTTAACTTTGCGGCTAAACCGACTTCGCGGCTCCGTAGCCGTCGCGCGGAACTTTACGGTCGCAGCTTCGACATTAGCGGATGTACATCCGGTCTGCGCGCAGCGATAACGAATTAATCGTGGGAGAAGACGGAGAGACGCGAGCGCGTATGCGAGCGTAGAAATCCTATGAGGCCCCCCCCCCCCCCGGCGGCATTTTCGACCGCATTCGCGACCGTTTTCGGGCCTGTGTGCCGGAAAGAATTCGGCTAAAAAGAGAGACAGAGGCAGAAGGAGAGACCGCTCTTGGCAGGAAGTTACTTTTAATTACGCAATCGGCCAAAAGGGAACACGAAAATGGAGAGACGTGTCTCGCTACGGGAAACCGTCCCCGATTCCTTCCTCTTCCTTTTTTTTTTTATGCGTATTTGGAGGCCTGTTTTGTTCGAAAAAAGAAAAAAAAAACGATTTCACGATTGTAACTTTGCAGATGACTTCGTAGAAAGAAGGAGAGAGTCTCACTCTAAACAAGAAAAAAACCCAAATTTGCGATCGTAGCTTTCTTTCGCGTCCAGATTACAGATTACATCGCGAAAAGGACGCAGATGGAAGAAAAGTATCAGGAGTACTTACTGAAAATTCATAGGACTAGCGAGCTGGCAGAAAAGAACGTGGATTCCGCCGTGGAGGCCGACGAAATCTGCAGTCGGCAGCGACGGCACGCACTCTCACGCGCGAGCACAACGGTCCGCAGGGCGACGAGGACGACCCCGTGGGTACTCGCGAGGAACGTTCCCGAGGTTCGAGGTGCTCCTCGAGTCGCCGACGCGGTTGTCGCGACGCTCGAATCTGCATTCTCTCTCGCCCTCGCACGACGACGGCATCAGGAACAACGACACGATGACGACGATGACGACGACGCGTTACGTCGTCCTCGAGACAGAGAGAGAGAGAGAGAGAGAGAGAAAATATGGACCAGTGGAAGAGCCGTCGGGTGGGACGACGAGCACTCCGTTACTCGCACTTTCGTCCTGCGTCCATTCCACTCTTGCCGCGCTTCTCCGTCGTCTCTCTGTCCCCCACGTTCGCGCGGATCGCCAATATCATGAGAGTCCGGGCGACTCGCGAGCGGGAATCCGCCTGAGAGTCCCCGTAAGAGTGCCGTAGTCGAGGACGATACGCGCACGTAGAATCCGCACGGGTTGCCCAGAGCACCGACGGCAACTGCGGTAGCAGCGTCGAGTTCGCGAGCGGAAAACGGCGAACCGTGCCGAGAACGGGCACACACGGGCGAGGCTCTTCGCCGGAAGGAACTCGAGAGGCGCAACAGCTGCTGGATGCCGGAGAGACCAGTGAATGAGCGAGTGAGCGGCAGGGAGAGGAGAGAGGGAGAGAGGCGCGCGCGCGCGCGCGCACACACACCACACACACACACACCAGGGACAAGAGGGAGAGGGAAGATAGAAACAAGACGCAAACCACACGACCACCGACGACCGACTGACAATGGGTTCGCTGCGAGCGAATCGAGCTGGAAAGGCGGCGGCCGCCGCGCCGAGGCGAAGGGGGACACGTCGCTGACGGCGGGGAGGGGGACGAAAGCGGAGTAACGACGGGGAGCAGGGCGGGAGGGAGGGAAAGTAAGCTGACAGAGGGATACTGAGAGCGCGGGGCGGGCGGAGGGACGAAACGTAGGCGGAGAGAGAGGAAACAGGAAGAGAGACGGTGGGAAGGAAGCCATGAATGGCGACAGCCGGACGCGGGGACGGAGGAGAAAAGTGAAAAGAGGTGGAAGGGGAAAGGGCGAGCAGGGAGGGAGGGTCTCTCTCTCTCTCTCTCTCTCTCTCTTTCTCCCTCTCCCCTTCCCCCTCTGTCATCGTCACCCTTTCTCTTACTCTCGCGGTCTATCGGGCGCGCGCGTTTGCGCACACGGTACGGCGTCGCCATCTGGCGATAAGGTAGCCGAACGCTGCCGCCTCCCGGCCGGTCGACGCACACGAGAAGCTTTTTATGAATGGACGGAAGCTATCATTGAAGCTTCGGATTGAATGAAAACATTACCTACGTCGTCACCGCCGTGCGGCAACGCGCCGTCACACGGCGTCGGCGCGGCTCGACAGTGACGACCGTGGTCGCGTTCGTTCGATGGATGGATGGATGGATGGAGAAGGAAGTGGTACTAGCGATGTGGGTGATGATGATGATGGTGATGATGATGATGATGATGATGATGAT